GCCGTCGTCTCTTCCGCAATCAGTAGTTGCGACACTGTTGAAGGAGTTACAGTGTGTCCGTGAACCGACGCGTCCTGTGCTGGTCACACCAGAACAGCGGCTGCCGGCTTGCGAGACGCCCGGAAAACGCCAACCACTGCCTCCTCGGCTAACTGGCAGAGAGTTAGACACTTTGCCCGATTCTTTCCGTGACCTAGCAATCCACAAGCCTAAGATACGTCTACACGACAATGTACCGAAGTCTGATTCTTCAGACGGAACACGATATCTCCGAGACCGTCTGAACTTATTACGTCTTCCCTCTCTGCCACCTAGTAGAATTCGGTCCACCAGGCGTCCGAGGAACGGGAAGTTTAAGACGCAGAGTACGTTGCGTAGAGATCGCAAACGGCTGTGGCGCTACCTAGCCAAGAGGCTAGCAGAGAGGAGAGAAAAGAAGTAGAGGAGACTGGTCCTTTTCAGGACTAAACACAATCAGCCCTTTTCAGGGCTAACAAAACATTACAAACGTGGACAGGTTATACGTTCCCTATTGCATAAGCTTTGTTGGATACTGCACCGAACTTATCAAATTTTACGTTAATTTTTAGTGTTTTTTTTTATTTTTCGTTCAAAATGACGCCATTTTGTAAAAAATCGATTTAAAAACAAAAGCACAGGTACTTTTTTTTAGCTATACATATATGGCTGATTCTCTGTGAAGTCGAATGGTCAAAAAAAATTTTTTCTGCAAATATGAAAAACTTGTTGTTTTTGATGTCAGATTTGTCCCAAAAAAATTTTAGGAAAATTGGGGCCTTCTAAGATACTTTTTTAGAGGCCCAAAGTTGGCCATTTCAGCGTTTTTCCGAAATTCATGAAAAATCGCAAATATTCAAATAATTCCAAACACGGAAAAGAGTATCGAGTAGCTGCCACGGACGCGCAGAGGTGCTGTTACTCATTTGATTTTGGGTGTCAGACCCTCCATTATCGAGGGTTGGGGACTCGTCAGTTTGCATGTATAATATCCTCGATTGCATCGAGTGTCTGACACTCGATGAATCGAGGAAAAACTAATCTTTTTTTTTGTGATCTTACAATTTTCGAGATAAATTACATATCAACGCTCTTTGCAAGGAGAATATTTCTATTTTTTTACGTAAACAAGCTACTCTTTGTAAAGATCATCGATATGCTTTTATTAAAAATGTATGAAGAAGATAAAATTGATCAAGTAAATAATAATAAAACACATACTTCATGAAAATGTTTACATAATTTTTTAATAATTGTACATGAACCAATCAATAAATCTGTTTGCGGCATACAGACCAAATAAAACTTTGGATTCTGGCCTGCTTTCAATGAGATATTACAGTTCATTTTTCACATACTCATACTTCGAACCTGTCAGTAAATAAATCATCAATAAAACGCTAATGTCAGATTAAAAATAGTGAAAAAAGAAATTAGATCTTTAATAACTTCTAAGTCGAGCCTGGGTTTCTTAGCAATATTATGCGAATCAAGTGGAATCAAGTTGATTCATCAATATGCATAGCAACATCTAAATAGCAAACGTAACTATAAGCAAATTGTAGAGAGTCACCGCAGCACAAATTTAGGTTATAAAAATAATAAGTTAGTATTAATTATAATAAGTATAAGTCTTATCTTCTAATTCAAGTTCTTCATCAGTATGCATTAAATCGGAAATAACTTGCTCTGAATCCATAATTATTGTACTATCAATTATAATCTTCAAACGTTGTCGCTTTAACTCGCAGTGATCGAGGAGCTGAAATCTTTACTGAAGAGCAGCAGCGATTTGTTGTTTTGGCTGTAACCGTCACGCGATCATCGAGGGTCAGTCACTCGATGGATAGAGGGTGAACCCTCGATAGATTTAAATAAATTCTAGCGGGCGAGTCGAGTAGCAGCACCACGACTCAGCGTGGCAGCTACTCGATTAGAATAAAATGATTCAAAATTAAATGTGACCACGAGCTTTTTCATTGAAAATTGTCCAAATTTTTCGAAAAAATGTATGCCAAAGTGATTGGAGCTATATGGGAGCTTATAGAGGAAAAAATTGAAAAAAATAAAAAACACGAAATCTGATCCCAGTTGAAAATAGTTGCATGGATTTCCTCGTGGATCAGCTAGGTGGAATCGATGATAATCGGAGATAGATTCTGCATGGAAATAGCGTGGAAACAGCGTGGAAACAGCGTGGAAATAGTATGAATAGTATATCGATTTCACAAGGACAGTTTATAGATTCCACGAGGAAAGATCATAGATTCCATGTAGATTTTTGCCACTTTATCCATGATGACTCTCTTGGACGATCTACGAGGTTATTTCGGTCATTAAAAAAATGAAAGAAAGTTTCTTCCGTAAGCAGGATTTGAACCCGAGATCTTTTGATTTCAAAGCTGGTACTTTAGGAACTGAGCTATTAATCAGACATATTAGTTAACCCATTTCAAAGTAAAATGTACTTGTAATAAATATTATTTTTTGTTTGTTCGATTTTTTTTTGGTTTTTAAAAAATTCAATTCGTTACACTTTATACACTGCACGCAAAAAGCTGCGCACGTGTTGTATAAACAAAGCATTTTACCACACATCAGTGTCCAAAAACGCTTTTAAAGCACTGAAACGTGTACGCAAAAAGGCACTTTTCGCTATACTATTGCATAAAATTTTTTTGGCCATTCGACTTCATAGAGAATCGGCCATATATTGTTGAAATTTTTGTGTCTCATATCCATAACTTTAAAGTTGCACCCGTAACACTATTTTCCCGAAGCACTAAAAAAAAGACGTCTCAGGGAAAATACTGTCAAGCCACCATTTTGTTTTTTACAGCCAATATAAATTTTGAAAAACATTGTTCAAATGTTGTATAAACAAGAACTTTTTACTAAATTTTAGGGTTAAGGAGCATAGTTGCACCTTGCTTTTAACAAATAATTAAAATAATCGCTTCGAGCAGAGTCTGCCCATAGAATGTAAGCAGGAAATTTTCGAGGAAAGCCCAATTTATTTCTTGGTTTTCGTGGTTCCTTTTTTTTATTTATAATCTCTATTTTAAAAACTTGAATACATATAGTATTCTGAGACACTCTAACTGTAACGTCCTGTATTGGTCGGGGTTGATAAATAACATTACACACAATTATTGTTAAATATTTGGCACGCTCATATCTCATGTATCAACACTCTGCCTCGTCATGTATATCTCTACACCGCTACCGCGCAGAGAATATAGATCTCCACTCGGCACTCGATACGCGCGCTCTCTTTATTTGATCTTCAGTAATATCGCATACAACACTAACACAACTAACTGAAGAGTTGTATACAAAAGTTGTAAAATAAAAGGAATTTGCTTAGTAGGCTGATTTTAATTCCAAACCTATCACTGAAGAAGTGAGTTTTTTGGTCTATTTGGACGCTGGTTTTTGCATTGACTTTCAAGTAGAAATCAACCTTCTAATTTTAAATATAGACTATAAAATAATAATAATACAATTGATTTTTGGAAAATCTAAAGTAATTTTTAGTTCCTGATATTAAATAAAATTGCAACATTAAAAGAGGAAAAAATAATAGTTTTAAATTTTATAATTAGATAATGCTGAATCATTAGTAAAAGTATACCTGGTATACAAACAAATATTCTTTAATTGTAACTGTATTTTTTAAATTCACAAATTTCAAATTCAAACAAGCATACACCATTCAACAATGTTCAGAATGACAATATAAAAAATTGCTTTAAATCGAAGCAAATTAACAATTTAATAAAAAAGTAAAAACTCAACTTTTTAAAATTATCAATGTTTATTTTTGGGTTAAATTTTTATCTTGCCTAAACATAGTGGCACTTTTTAAAAGGGCATTCTTAATGTACTTAGCTTTTGATTAATTGAAAATTCAATTATTATCTTGCTTAAATTATATATTTTTTGAGAGTTTTTGTTGAAGTTACATTTCTAGATTCTGTTCTTAAGGGGTTACATAGCATTGCGTCATGAAAATTTTTTTTCAGATAAAAATATTGAAAATTGTTGATTGTTCATCAGTTTTTCTCGGTCATCCTGTTATCCTGCGGTAGACCGGATAATTCCTGGCAGGATCATCGGAAACCGAAAATATTTCTCAAAATTAATACTCTTAGCTAGTGATTGAAAGAAGGAAAAGTAAAAAGAATAAAATTTGTTAATTTGGCACCAATTTTAATAATTTTTTTGGCCTATTTTTGCCGAATATGCAAGTATTTTTTCTCAATAAATCTTCATAATATCTACTTAAACGATTGGCTCAATTTTTCAGGAACGAAAATAGGTACTTTGTAAATTTCAAGACACGTTCGTTCTTTTACTAACACTTTTAGTCTTGTAGACATTCACCAGGTCAGGGTCATTGACAATTCTGTAGGGTAGTCAGCAACTAGATGATTAGCATTTTTCATGTTCAATAACTTTTCGATCAAGCATATGTACTCATTTAAAAAATTACCGAATTTTTTAGTAAAATGTATTTACAAAAAATATTTTGAAAGTTATGAGTAATTTTTATATACGAGCAACGTAAGGAATTTTCTTAAAAGTCAAGTGCTACTACCTTCACCACTTACCCTAAGTTAACTTGGTCTATTTCTAATGAATAAATTATCGCAATTTAAGAGAGAAGTTGTTGAACAATATCTGGATACAGTTATAAATAAACTAATTATCATCATATAAACTCGAATTTGTAGTGTCCTATACTTAAATTTTATGTAAAAAATTTTATGACGAGGTAAATTGATATCGATACTAAAACTATAAGTATAAAGTAACAGCATAGATAAAAAACAACTTTTTTTATTAAATACTCTCAAAAAAATTTTGTATTCATATTCACATTATGTGGTTATAAGTATGCATAATAGAATCATGTAAACCATAGCACATATACCTAGGTTTTTTTCATAATCTGATGCTACTTTAATTTATATACTTACATGGTTTTTGCGGATTAGTGTAGTGAGATAATTTTAGTAAATCATCTTGCTGGTATACTGGTCTTCGAACAATTAACTCAGGAATTATTGTTGACATTTCATCACAAATATCTCCTAGAAAATATGTTTAATTGAACTTTCCGATGCAATAATTTTTGTAATAAAATATAAAATACACCTTATCGTAAAATATGTTTTCATAACTCGTTTATGCTGGTAATTTTAATAAAATTTTTTACCTGTCATCGTTGTTAATCAGCCTGTCTAGATTTCACATAAGCAAATGCAAAAAAATGAAGTTACAGATTATCTTGACTGAGAAAGATCGGAACAAATAATTGACAAGATATAATTTTTCGTATGAATATTTGAAGCTAAATTTACTCAATTAAAGAAAGATAATTTATAATTGGAAAAAATGAACATTATCATAACGTAACATCTATTCTATCATTTTCACCTGTACACTATTTACTGTATCAATTTACTTAACGATTATAGATGAATAAGGACTACAATATGATTCATATCATCATGTCTTTTGAAAATCAACTAGTTACATGTTTGCATGATTTCACGTCACATTTCTTATCAACAAGCGCCAAAATTGTCTGCATAAGCATAAAGCGAATTAGATAAATTTTAATCATGCATTTTTCATCATACTCTAACTTGAAATCTGAAATTTTTTATAAAACGATAAATTTTAATCTTAATAAAACGAGATTGTTAATATTTTACTTTTGTATACTATTTTCAAATAACTAATAATCGATAGTGCACATGCTGTTAAAAACATAACTTAAAAGAGCTAATGCAAGTGATTCATTTTTTTATTTTTGACAGACTGATAACTTTTTATTCGTAATGAAATAAAATTTATTCGTACTTATTTCTTGAATATCAAGTATTCAATTAATATCTTGAACATCGTTTCAACTCTCGAGGAGATAAATATTTACATAGCATCTCGATAAAAACTCACTGATCAAACAATATTCTGATAAAATAACATTATTATTCGAGATAATATGATATATTTTCGTTACTTTGCAATAGATAAATTGTTCACAAGTGTGGAAATGTTGAGAATTTGATTTCTTTGAATTTCAAAATTAATTTTTTCACATTTTTATGATATAAAAATTAGCAGAAATTTCTAAATAATTTTATCTTTGGAATTGAATTCAAATCAACAACCATTTTCATATGATAATCCAAAATATTATTTACCGAAAATATTTGTGGAGATTATTTTTCAATCTGCGATTTTATAGGTGTAGTGCATAAAAATGTATAAACGTGTTAAAGTTGATAAAAATGTAAAAGAAATTTATAAAAGATTATAAAAATTTTAAATATCTTATGCAAAAGTAAAAAATGAACTTTGCTGCATCCTTTAGTCATCTGCATTTTTTATAGATAATTAAGACAGAAACGACTGTATCTTTATGCAAAATAAAATTGCAGAAACTTGAAAAGATGTAATATAAATGGAATGCAAATGTAATGTAATTATTGCTAAAAATTAATTAAAATTTTATTGATTTGAAGGTTTTTATAAGCCCTTGATTAAGCGGAAAAAAATTAGAGTATACAAACATTTTGCACTATGTTTTGATTTGAAATCTCGTGAACGGGAGGTTGTAGGTGAGAAGTGTCAATAGAGATATTATGTTACGGATACATTCATACTTTATCATAAAATTAAAAAATTTTCTTTCAAATAGAAATATTTGAATCAGATTCACTGAAAACTAACGATAACACTTTATCTACTCATATTTCCTCATATTAAATCTAATAGAATTTTTTTTTGAATAATGGAAGCTTATAAATTAAAGGAAACTTTTGATAATTGTTTCAATATTTCAACTCTTTAGAAACTGAGATAGACCAGGAATATAAACTGTTATAAAATCTTTTAAAATTTCATAATGCTTGTTGTTAAAGTTATTATGAGTTTACAACCACTCATAACTATGTGTGTTCAATCCTTAATTCAGACTCTTTATAAAAGTTCATCAGAGCATTTAATAGATTAGAGAAGTTATTTTAATTTTTGTACAAACCCTTTTTTCGTTAGTACTGCCTATGTTTTGAAAAAAAATAAAATTACCTTTTGACCCTTGACAAAATTCAAAATTAATGCAAACACAAATTAATGTACAAAAAAAAGGTTACAAAAGCTAAAATTATAGACTAATATCTTTGCTAAAGTTCAGACTAATATCTTTCGAACAGTGAAACATTTTTTCCATTCTCTCTTCACTCAAATAATCGATCTTGAAACAAACTGAAAGTTAGAAATCAGTGTCATAAAGATTCATGGTCAAGCTTAACAAAAAGTTTAATGAATGCATATCATAAAAATAGTCATTTTTAATCATTATGAAATCGGATGTATTTATATACAAATAGTTTATTATATATTATCTGCCAGAAGGTATGGATAAATTTTAAAAAATTGTCTACTTTGGATAATTTATCATATTTACAAAAATTTAACAAAAAAATTAGGAAAAATTTCACGATCGCGGAAAAATTTCGTTTGAACGATTTCAAACAGCTCCTCTGCAATCAATAGCAGCTCATCTAGCTTTGGCTTTTTATGTCATTTTGTCTTGTATAGTAGAACATTGTCATGTAAGTCAAAATAATACTTTTTTACAAAACCGTGCGCACGTAAGTTACCGATCTGAACTCGCTTTTGGTATGTTATATTACATGGTAAAAAGGTCCTAAAACTGAAATTTTAGACCTTTTCCCCGCTTCTACTTCCATCCCTTCCATATACGTCTATTTTCTATTTATATTTATTTCGAACCCTTGAGGCAATAAAAAAATCTGGGAAAAATTCATGAAGAGACATTTCAACGAACCAAACCATTATTAATTTTTTCAGATTTTTTTAGTGCTTGAGGTCTTCAGATAAAATCATTGAAAATTTTAAACGTCCAGATACGGTGATATGAACCGATATTACACTCAAACATTTTTTTCCCACTCTAACCTAAAATACGCAACTTTGCCGCTAATTTTAGGCTCTCGTAGGAAAAAATAGTATCTCAAACTGGTGCAGATATGGTTTTTTAACAAAACTCGTTACAGCACTCGCCTTCGGCTCGTGCTATAATCCCTCGTTTTGCTAAAAAACCATATGTGCACCCGTTGAGAAATATACTATTTCTCTTTTTTATGGCTTGAAAAACATAACCTCAAATTTTCTCGAATTTTTAATGGCTCCATATCGCCTTAAAAAATTATTTTCGCTAAAAAAAGGGGCTTTTGGCTTCAAAAGGTTTGTTAGCTAATCTGAAAAAATCTAAAAAAATTTTAGGTTACGTTTTTCAAGCCATAAAAAAGAGAAAAAATTTTCGGGTTTAATATCGGTTCATATCACCGTATCTGGACGTTTAAAATTTTCAATGATTTTATCTGAAGACCTCAAGCACTAAAAAAATCTGAAAAAATTAATAATGGTTTGGTTCGTTGAAATGTCTCTTCATGAATTTTTCCCAGATTTTTTTATTGCCTCAAGGGTTCGAAATAAATATAAATAGAAAATAGACGTATATGGAAGGGATGGAAGTAGAAGCGGGGAAAAGGTCTAAAATTTCAGTTTTAGGACCTTTTTACCATGTAATATAACATACCAAAATTGAAAAAATGTAATTAAGTAAAGAACTCTTTTAAATGGAATAACTTACAATGTTTCTTCTTACGTCTGCCAGATTCTCGATCTCAATTTTTCTGTTGATTTCTTGCTAACAGTCCATTCTTCACAGGTAAAAAAGATACTTAATTATTTAACAACTCAAGCTCAATAAAGTATAAAGATTACCTCTTTTTTGTAATGCAGTATCAACATTAGACTGGAAGTAAAAAAAAAATTTTTTTTATTTTGCCCGGACCAAACGAAAAAGTGATCTATGTACTAAAAAAATAGTCTGTGCAAAATTTTAGTTCATATAAATTGAGATAACCCGTGCCACCAGTCGCTTGAAGGTCTTTAAATTCGATTTAAATTCATTTTTTTCGCTTTTTCACAGCAATATTCAAATGGCTCTTTAGCCGTCAATTTTCAAGCAAATCAAAATCGTGGCCGTGAGCATTGATGTTCTGAAGAAGTGTACGCGACCCTGGTGCAGAAGACTCAATCGGTACCCACTGAAAGTTACGTGAGATGACCAAAAACACTACTCGCCAGAAAACGCAAAAGAAGAAAAATTTTAACTCGTAAAGTATATGAAAAAAGCTCACGAAAACAGCTGTGTCTCAGTGCAAAATCAAAATTTTAAAATTTTGAAAAACGCAATGGAAAGGGGAGAAAAAATGCTATTCAAAAATTGAATAAAAAAAATTTGAACGACAGATCTAATGATTTTGCTTCCTCATAGAGGAAGCTCTGTGATAGGCTCGAAAACGAGATTTTGAACCAGACCTCGTAGGACAATTTGGTTTATATATTTGGAAACTACATTGAATTACCAACAAATGTCTGTATGAGGTTTTGAGTTTTTGTTTGTATGAGGTCCTGATGGTCGTGATCTAACGTACTTAGGACACTAGACAGTGAATCAAAATTTAAAAATACGAATTTTCAAGTTAATAACCGATGCCTTTTGTTAATATTATTTTTTATGAGGAAGCTCTTTGCCAATAAATTGGCAGCGGTTTTTAAAATCTGTCAGCACGATTAGTAAAATATACGCTAAAAGTGACCTTTTTTCGGAATTGACCCGGGATAATAATCTAATAATAAATTTGAGGATGCGATTATCGATCATCATGGAGCTTATCGAATATCGAATGATGAGTCGCGCTAAGCGCGCTGAATGTCTCTATGAATTGATGTATATCGATATCGAATCAAAATCGAAATGTATAATCGGAACAAAGTAGATTAAAAAGATTGTTAATAAATCATTCGATAACCTGATCAGTCAGAATAAAAAATCAAACAATACATAACCCCAGGCCGAGGCGAAGCCGAGGCCGCAAAAGAAGTGCTTAAGGGATTTTTTTTGGCGGTTTAGACTACATACGATATTTCATATTAAGTGGTCCCATAATAGCATTTTCCTCTCTGCGCAGGCGAAGGAAAATAGTTGCGTAAGGGCCGCTGGTAAAATCATTTATAAATAAAATATACCTATGTCTCATCGCAAAATGATGCTACTGTGTATTAAGAAGAATAGGACTTGATTTAGCAAGATTCTACTTCGACCATCCGTACAATGAATGATTTCTTAACGGAGATATTGTCATCATCTCTCAATGGTGGATCGAGTTGGCTATCTTGGAGAGGTATATCTTCTCTATCATTAGTATCTTGTACTGAAGTTTTAGATGGGTGATAATTAGTTACTTCCGAGGTTCCAACTGAATTTGTCAGTGTGTCAGTTGAAACTACTATGTGGGAAATAAATTCGACCGCTTTTGAAGAAATTTTTTTATTACCTAAAGTAAATGGTAATTTATAGAAAAAGGTGTTAAGTAAAGAGCAAATAGAACCTTAAAATAATTACTATGTGTGGAAAGGTTCGATACTGAAGTTATGGAACTATCTTCGAAAAGTAGGATAGATTCGTCGGAAGCGTGTTCCAACTTCAAGTACACGAGATTTGCTTTTCCTGCAATCGGATCGGTGTTGATTTCATGAGGACCACCACTACTCTGTACAAGGGTTTGATTCGATAAAAGAATATCAGAGGATCCAGTAATATGTACAAGTATTAAGTTGATCATTACCATGTAATTGTTTAATTGAAGCCGATAAGAGCCGCCTCCGCTTCGATGATACAAGAGTTTCTGTATTGCGTTGATGATAAAGATGTTGCCTTACCTTAACCATCCACCTTCGGCAAAGGTAATTATTGAGTAATGTTAACTTTAAGTTTTTTTTTTTTTGCTCTGCACAGGTGCAACGGCTATATTTTCGTTGCTGCAAGTCGCCTGAATTGAATTACTTAATCGATCGTCGTTTGAACCTAGAACAGAAAATATATGAGAAAATAAGTTGACTAATTGTTTGTTAAAATGTGAACTCACCAAGAAGTAAAAATTGATCTATTTTACGACTTTCGATAACAGAACCTGTAACAGATGACTTGAGTCGACCACCAAAAATTCGATGATTTTCTGTTAAATGTTTTCTAGTCCATCGTCGATCCCATAAATCGGGTACAAACAAATTTAGTTTGAAATCATTCAGTACGGTGAATATGTGCTTGCATGGTACTTCTGCAGATAAGAAGTGACAGCAATTACAACTTGTCCTGGTTACTTGGTATTGGATATTGTGACATGATTTTGATTAAATTAAATAATTGTCGAAATCTATTACTTGTAATTTCAATTTTTCCGAAGACCAAATGATAGAATTACGGTGGCACGCTTTGTGATGCAAAACGACTAAACTTTAACTCGTTTCGGGCCAAACGGACGAAATTTCCTACATTTTTTCCGGTGCTATAAACTTTGTGAAAAAAATTTCTGAAAAATGTTTGAATAGTCATTTCTGACGTGAAATTTTATGAAATTTTCGAATCTGGTGCCAGAATTGTCAAAAAAGTTGAGGAGCAAAAGTTATGAACAATTAAACAACAAAAAGCACGATTTTTTTAAAAAAAATTTTGATTCGACCTAAATTTTCGAATCAAAAGAGGCTTAATCCGTGGGTCTAACACATATTTTTTGCGTCTATGGGGTGTAGACATAAAAGTCCAATAGTTACAATATCAAAATTCAACATGGTGGACAACAAAATGGCGCCTCGTAAAAAAAAACCATGTATAAACTTGGTCAATTTTTTTATATGCTAACCAAGCGTCTAGGAAAAAAACTTTACTTAGAAAAAGTTCTTAGAATTGTTCAAAAAAGACCCCTGAATTTTCTTAGAATTTTCTGATAAAATTTTTGGATTTTTGAAAATGGTCAGAAATCAAAATTACCAAAAATAATCCAAAAAAATCTTAAAAAATTCAGACATGTTCTTTGAAATATTCTAAGACTTTTATAACCTACAACACTTTTTCGTCAAGTTCTTTATTTTCAAGTAAAAAAATTACATTATAATTATTTTAAGAACATAATTTTATTTACAATAAAAATAGAATAAAAAAAAGAAATTGTTTTTTAATTTTATTACCCTTGCACTTTCATGTCATGTTATTATCACTATTATTAAAAGAGGTTGATTAATCGAACACTTGTTTATTAATTTTTAAATACTTGTTTATTTATTGCTTCTTTCAGTACAAAAAGGTATTCAATAATGCATCTAATAATAACGTAGAAAGATCACTTCATTTGACGCTTTGAAAACTGTTCAATGCTTCTTAATATCTTTTGGAGTCTAATCATTTTTAATTTAGTGGTAGGTAAAGACTTGATAGGATCGTTGAGAATTACACAGTGATGCAAGCTTGCTGCAGAATTGTTTAATGCTTTACGTTTAAACTTTGATGAAGACTCCTCGTTACCCTTATGTAGAGTAGTTTTATTTTCATAATGATTTCTTATACTGGAAATGCATCTTATTTCCCAATAAGTCACATTTTCCTTTCGTAGATATTTATTGTCTATTTTACAAAATGCTTGTCTAAGATCAGAACACCTCTGTTTGATTTCTTCAACTGCAAAATTCAAAAAACAAAATACTTAAATTATAGGTTAAAATAAGTTGTCTAATATTTACAATAATATAAACATTACCAGTTATTTGAATTATTAACGTTGTACCTAGTTTCTCTTGTAACTCTTTGTAAAATTTAAATTTTACTTCTGCATCATCGTATAATTCATTATCTTTATTATACATAAAATTTGCTTTTGCATACTGCTAGATTATTATGTCATCCATTTTCGCAATTAACCCCTCTGTCACTTAAAAGGTTATAAAAAAGAATTTTTAGATGTTTATATCTTCGATGTTGGTACTCTATGTGCGCACTGTGGTCGCATTGGTCGGTGTTGCGGAACCGATCCAATAGAAGTCGCACTCAACCCAAGTTATCTAGAGACGGCCAAACCGTCAAAAGACCGTGAACACAATGCTAAGGCAGAGCGAGAATCCGAATATCGTGGAAAAAGAGAGAGAGAGAGAGAGAGAGAGAGAGAGATTGATTTGAACAATTTATTAACCAAGGTCGAAAGACCGAATGGCAACTAGCAGTAAAAATTACAATAATATATATATTTACAAATAAAACAAGTATAAAATAAGCCAAGTAATACAAAAATATGCAAAAATTAAGCCAGATAACAGATATTCAGACACAGTTATTCAGTATCATATTCAAACACTATGACTAAGAGTATGTACAAGTGTAGGTAAAATTAATTACTATAAGTATGAGAGATTACAATTAATAAGCAAAAATACGTAAAAGTTATTGAGCATTCTGTTGTCTCCTCATGTAGCGCCCAAGTAGACTCTTGAATGACGCCAGAGAGCCCGATGACCGTATCTGAGCAGAAAGTGTGTTCCATGAGTTGGCTGCTTTAATCGAGAAACCTGACTTAAAGGTGGAGGAATCCGCAAACGGCACCACTATCGTCGGCGCTCCACCCGCGATTCTTGCAGATCTGCGGACCTCTGCGCCCGTCCAGTGATAGAGATTCGAAATGTATTCTGGGCATAATCCATTGAGCGCCTTGAACGTTTGAATGTTTAAAAAATAGTCGCGTCTCTGTGATGGTAACAGCCAATCGAGCCTGGCGTAGTACGGCCGAAGAGCAGCGTCTCTAGGGAGCTGGAAGATGTAACGTATGTACGTGTTTAGTAGTCGTCTGAGTTTTAAGTCCAGTGTGGCAGAGATGTCTATGAAAGTGAGGCAAGCGTAGTCAAGATGAGGTATGATGAAGGCGTTAACAAACATCTTTTTGATGTTGACGGGCAAAAAGCCAGCCCCAGCTCGCAGTCGATGAAGTACTCCATGAATGCGAGAGGAAATGCCTCTGATGTGAGCATCCCAGGAGAGTGCAGGGGTCATCACCAGGCCCAGATTGACAACTCTGTCCTCAAGAGGGATGACGATGCCATTGAAGTTAATTCTCCCAACACTGTCGAGGTCAATGTGCATGAGATATTGATTCGATGCAAAGAGGATTGCCTTAGTTTTGGAAACATTAAGACTTAGTCCATTCGTGAGTGCCCAATCAGAGACAATCTCTGTGCGTCTTCGCTGAGCCTTGCCACGGTCTCATCAAGCTCATTCGACGGGCATTGCAAATAGATCTGGAGATCATCAGCAAAGAGTATGTGCGTGGACGTGCAATGGCGAAGCGCACGCGTAAGCCCATCAATGAACACTGAGAAAAAGGTTTAGTTGAATCAATTAATTTTTACTTGATCCAACGAAATAATTTAATTGCGGGTTGCTCATTAAATATTTAGTTGAATCAAAGAAAAATATTTAATTGGTTCAATAAGATAAATTAGTTGATTCAAATAAATATTTACGTAGATTGAATATTTATTTAATTCAAGCAACTAAATATTTTATTGAGTTGCAGAATTAATTAATTGTTTCAATCGAATCTATTGTTGCATCAAGGATATAATTTCATTACTTCAAACAAATATTCCTTTGATATCATAATATATTTTTTTTGCTCAATGAAATATTTAATTCATTTTTAACAAATATTAATTCGATCCATTTTAATATTTTATCGATTTACAAAATTCATTACTTATTTCAAATAAATATATCATTGGTTCTGAATATATATTCTATTAGTTTGAACAAATATTGAATTGATCGAATGCAATATTTTTTTGAATGCAAGAACATATTTCATTGATTCAAATAAATATGTATTAGATTCAATTAATTAATTTGTCACTGCGGAAAAATATTTGATTAAGTTGACTAAAATATAAGATTGAATCTAATACATTTATTGAAAAATAACTTCTATGTATTTATCTTATACTTTTATTTGATAATGATGTGTATGTAGCTTCTGTTGTGAAGAGGGCATTATTTAATTAAATATTTAGTTGGTATTATTACATTATGAATTTGGATGAAAATTAGTTTATAATTACATGATTATCTAACAACCTTACAATTATACAATGTTTACATTACTTTCTACCTATTGTAACGCACAAGAACATCGCTAAACAGTAACGCATGGATGACAGTTCGTTTGCAGATGTCAATCGCATGTTATCGTACCAGATATTTCAGTCTTATATAGTAATCTCGAATACCATTTTGCCACTTAGGGGTGTGGAATATACGCCATCTAGGTGAAGGACTGAAACAAAAATAATTTGATATTTAATTAAAAATCAAATAAGTATTTAATTACTTTAATAAAATCTCGATCTATCACAGTGTGACGTATTACATGCGTGTACAAACAAAACAAATCATTAAATACACCATTTGGTGAACAGTTGGTTTAACCACGACTCTTGTCCCTCTCTGGCGACGATAATCATGCTGCCTGTTCGGTCCTTCGGGGGCGAGCCGGTCGTCGCTAAAGCACTCCGTGTTGTTCCTGAACTGTCGGCTCCTCCTTTGTTGATGAAGAAGTCCTCGTAGCAGACTTGGCGGAAGCTAACCGGACGTTCGATTCAGCCGCCTGTCGCACTCGTACTTGCTGAACATAACGCGCCCGAGACTCCGTGGCTACCGTCGCTCGCGATTCCCGTTGCGTCGATTATTATAGTTGCAGCAAGATATGTCCTGATAGTCAGCAGTGAGCAACAACATACCGTCATAGCCGAGCAGATTTATTAAGGCCAATTCGTGGAAGTGTCGGTGCTCTCGATCTCGAGGTTCAGTTTGCCAAGTCGTTTTTAGCTAGGTCGCGAAGAAGCCGGTGGTCCTGTCGATGTAGCCGTTGTGCGTGGAGTAGGCGTCCAGAATCATGTAATTGTGCAGCGGTATAATCTGACAGTTTTACTGGACGATGCAGATTCGAGCGACGGTCAGACACTGACGCTGGAAGATGTCGATGAGCAGATGGCCTTGCTCTGATGTCCCGTATTCCAGCCAGACCAAGATTATCAAGTCATCGCGCACAGCCTGATTGAAACAGTGGAAGAGCGTGTAGATGACTAACGCGATCGCTAAAGCTGACCCAGCTCCTGGGCACGTCGCGGGAGAGGACCGCGCCGCATAGCACCTCTCGCCCGACCGATCGCTGTTAATGATCGCGCCGACCAGTGATCGTAGACGTCGAGGCTCACTGGCCGGAGACATCTCAAGTGCTCGGAATCTGGCTCGTGAATCGAGCAGTCCTGGAAGCGCACGACGATCGTTGGCCGGCTGGCTCGCATTGATCGAGTTCAGAATGGCTTGGTCCGCATCAAAGAGCAGCTTTTGCATCGAGCCTGGCTAGACGACGGCCCCCAGGCGATTCATGGCTAGGCCGATGTTCCACCAGGGGCACCGTCCAAAATGTCCACCTCAGAACTGCCCACGTCGAGTAAAATGTACACAAACAAACGCAAATATTTTGTATATGTTTTTACAATTATTGTACACGGTTAAATTGTACACCGTTAATATGCAGAAAAATCATACACAGTCAAACTTTACACGAGTATTGTGATAAATAGCACGAATTAATTTTACACGATCAAACTCTATACGAACGCTGTGCTCTAAAACCGTAAATTATTTCTACACGGTCAAATTCTACACGTGTTCGATGATCAAAGTAGAAAATAATTTATACACAAATAAACTCTACACAACATTTTTTGTCCACAGACAAATTCTACCCGAGTCCGTCGTTGTAAGAAGTAATATATTTTACACGGTCAAACTGTACACAATTTTTTTTATACACAGACAAACTCTACACACTTATAGTGCGTAAAATTAATAGTGACCTTCTTTAAGATACAATTTGTTGTGTATTTTCTCGTGTACATCATTAGATGGTGCCATGTTTACCCACCTGTTAAATGGAATTAAGGGAGGCCGCGGTGGCTGTGGGGCTTGAGCTCTTGCTTCTCAACCGAGAAGTCGGGGGTTCAAATCCGGGTGGTGGGCTGGTTTTTTCCCGAGGATTTTTTCTGCGGGGTTTGCACCGTTGGGTGTAATCCGTGGAAATTTTCCTAGGAAAAAAGCCGGTGCACTTCAACTGCGGTCTCTGGTGTTGGGGGTCACACCATTATCAAAGCGTAACCTCAGTGGTATGGGAGGCGCAACCATATCGACTATAGGTACACGCTAATACACTAACACACACTTACATATATACGCAAGACCCTCCGTTAGGTAGAACGGTGAGGTTGGCCAATTAGCCTAGTGGCAGAAAGGGCCGTAATCAACTAAAAAAAAAAAAAAAATGGAATTAAGCTAACTACTTGTTTTTTTTCATTTTTTTATTTTTTTTAATACGATATCACCTTATATCATTAAAGTTCTCACATATGTTGTTGGTTCTAATGCGTCTTCCATAAACGCTAACAACGTTTGCGAGTGGAAGTCACTGACGTCTAAAGTACGTATTAAAACGATCTGCGTTTGGAACGTTGTGGTAATTCATCAGCCCCATGACGACGTTAAAGCCTGCTTCTATATTTTCTGCTGGAAGATAAGCTAGTGACATCGCATATTCCAGAATATTATGAAATTCATCTGGAATACGACATTTCCAGTACCAGTATCTACGTAAAGCCTGAAAATTGATGAGATATTAAAAAAAAATTCGTTGCAACTTCAAATAGAACTTATTGGATGTTTTCTTACTTGCATGTAGTGGAACAGGTACCCACTCAATCGTGCATTCGGCAAGGCCTTGTGTGGAGGACGAGAAAAAAAGAGAAAAATGTCAGGAGTCTAGAGCTCGATGAATTCTTCGGT